ATTGCCTCTCCCCTTGTGGGTTCCTGCACTAGCTGCTCCAAGAAGCAGTCATTTAAGCCATTGAGAAATTTTATCTCCGCTTCTCTTCCTGAGGTGACATGTATCCAGTCAATATGGGGGTAATTAAAATCCCCCATTATTATAGAGTTCTCTATTTTGGTAGCCTCTCTAATCTCCCTCAGCATTTCTATGTCAGTATCGCTGTCCTGGTCAGGTGGTCGGTAATATATCCCTACTGCTAATTTCTTATTATTGGAGCATGGAATTTCTATCCATAGCGATTCTATGGAACATGTTGATTCACTTAATATTTTTATTTCATTTGATTCTACATTATCTTTCACACTTGGTACATCACACTCAATCACACTTGGTACATTATTGGCAGAGTCATGTAGATGAGTTTTGTTGTTACATCTCTTAATAAAAATGACAAAAGTTAATATTTTTATTTCATTTGATTCTACATTATCTTTCACACTTGGTACATCACACTCAATCACACTTGGTACATTATTGGCAGAGTCATGTAGATGAGTTTTGTTGTTACATCTCTTAATAAAAATGACAAAAGGCTATAAAGAGGAAGGGATGCTGTCAGCAATCAAAGGGATGCTACCAGGAATAGCTCAACTCTCCATTTTGGTATGCAACTCCACAAGATGCATTCTGGACACAAATGCTTCATAAATCAGTCATATGTCAGTTAAAAAAACGTATTAAGTTAACCTGATCAAAAGAAATGCTTTGGGGATTTCTATATAATTCTTTGTTATCAATACTTAGTGCACTTGAATTGTGCAATCAGTATTAAGATTCAGGTACAACAAACTTCAAAAATTATAGGGTAGCCAGAAAATTTTCTGACTGTTGAGTGACTCCCACTCTGTCCAAACTATAATATTAGAGAGCAATACTGGGTCAGACCAATGGTTCACCTACCCCAGTATCCTTTTCAACAGTGGCCAATGCCAGATGCTTCAGAAGGAGTGAACAGAACAGGCAATCACTGAGTGATCCACTCCTAACTTTTGGCAGTCAGAGGATTAGGACAGTTAGAAGATCCAGTTGCATCTCTGATCATCTTGCCTAATGGTCATTGCTGGACCCATCCTCCATGATGTTTTCTAATTCCTTTTTGAACCTAGTTATATTTTGGTCTTCACAACATCCTGCCAATGAGTTCCACAGGTTGACTGTGCATTGTATGAAGAAGTATTTAATTTTGTTTGTTTTAAACCTACTACTTACTAATTTCATTGAGTGATTCCTGGTTCTTACATTATGGGAAGGGGTAAATAACACTCCCCTATTCGCTTTCTCCATACCATGATTTTATAGATTGCTATCAGATTTCCCCTTCCCCCCTTAGTTGTCTCTTTTCAAAGTGGAACAATCAGTCTTTTTAATTTGTCTTCATATGGAAGCTGTTCCAAATCCCTACTCATTTTTGTTGCCCTTCTCTGTACCTTGTCCAATTCTAATATATTTTTTGAGATGAGGCAACCAGAACTGCACACAGTATTCAAGCAGTGGGTGTACTGTGGATTTCTATAGTGGCATTACCATATTTACTGAATTATCCCTTTCCTAATGGTTCCTAACATTCTCTTAGTTTTCTTGATTGTTGCTACACACTGAGTAGATGTTTTCAGAGAACTATCAGCAATGAGTCCAAGAAATAAGAATAGTTATACTGTGTCAGACCAAAGGTCCATCTAGTCCAGTATCCGGTCTTCCAGTCATGGCCATGGCAGATGACCCAGAAGGAATGAACTGAACAGGTAATCATCAAGTGATCCATCCGCTGTGACCCATTCCCAGCAAAGAGATGTTAGGGACAACATCCCTGCCCATCCTCATTAATAGCCATTAATGGACATATCCTCCAAGATCTCTTTCTTGAGTGGTAACAGCTAATTTAGACCTCATCATTTTGTATGTATAGTTGGGTTACAATTTCCCCGTGTTTATTACTTTGGACCTGTGGGCATTGAATTTCCTCTGCCATTTTGTTGTCCAGTCATCCAGTCTTGTAAGATCTCTTTGGCTATGTCTAGACTGCAGGCTTCTTTCGAAAGAGGCTCTTTCGAAAGCATCTTTCGAAAGAGCCTCTTTCGAAAGAGAGCGTCTAGACTGCACGGAGAAATTTCGAAAAAGCGGCTTGCTTTTTCGAAAGAAAGCATCCAGTGAGTCTGGATGCTCTCTTTCGAAGACGCCCTATTTACATTGAAGAACGCCTTCTTTCGAAAGAGGAACTTTCGAAAGAAGGCGTTCTTCCTCATAAATTGAGGTTTACCGCCATCGAAAGAAAAGCCGCGTTCTTTCGAATTAATTTCGAAAGAACGCGGCTTGAGTCTGGACGCAGGGGAAGTATTTTCGAAAAAAGGCTACTTTTTTCGAAAAAACCCTTGAGTCTGGACACAGCCTTTGTAACTATTCACAGTCTATTTTGGACTTAAACAATTTTGAGTAATTTTGTATCATTTACAAATGTTACCACCTCGCCCACTGTTTACCCTTTTTTTAATAGATCATTTATGAATGCGCTATAGGTTGGACCACCCTGGTCCAGCACCAAGTGGTCCCAGATGAGGGAATCTCCTGGACCAGGGAAGGTCCCCTGTCACTGGCCCTTCAGCTCGCCTTTCCTCCCTGCCGCTGGCTCCTTTGGCCCTGGCCAGGCCACCTGCTGACCAGACCAGCCCTGGCCCCACTCCAGACCAGTAGCCAGCTGGGTTGTCAAGGCTGCAGCCCTGGTGCTGGGCGGCATATGGCCCAGATCAGACTGCTGTGGCACCAACCCTGTTGTCAGGTAGCATATGGCCCTGGTTGGGCTCCTGGGCTGTCGCAGCTCCCCCTCCCACCCCGCAGCCCTGGCTGTTGCTGCCCTACCACCACCACTGCCCATGCTCCCAGGTTGCTGCCACCCTGGCTTCTGGGCTGCCACCACCTTGCTGCCATCCGAGTTCCACTGCCACCGCTTGGGCTCCTCACTAGTGGTCCCACGGATTAGTTGGCAGGTTTCCTACCTATGATGCGCTTATCTATCTATCTTTCACTACAGTTTCACTCTGGTACCTGTAACTTTTAACTTTCACTTAACTAGCTACCTCATGTTTGTGCAATTATACCCAGTAATGTGAGTGGATTATTTTGACCCCAGACAGGTTGGAGAGTTAAGTATTCTTAGTGACACTGAACACACAAAATTGCTAATGAGATCGAAGCATCTGAATTATAACAGTCCTTGTCCAATATTACGTGAGGTTTTCGGTTTTGCTGGGTAGGAAAGAGGGTTAAACAACTCTTAAACCTATATAGAATATTTCATCTAAAGATCTTAAAGCACTTTTAAAACATTAAAGAACTCTTAACACATACTAATTTATAGAGGGGACAGAGGAATCAAGTGATCATACAAAATATGAGAGAAGACCGTGAGCAAAACACACAGCTGTTGCACAGTCCTGTGCTTTCACCATAAAATCATCCATCCACTCTAGCTATGAAACCTAGTTATGGTGACTACCATTGCCTTAGACAGCACACTCTTTATAAGTCCTGTCATCTAATAATTAAATTCAGTGGAACAATTTCAGAGCTAATAATTCAGGGGGGAGGCAGAGGAAGGGAGGAAACATTCTCATCCTAGAAAAGGATTTCTCATTTTAACTTAATTCTAGAACAGTACATCCTTTATTATCCAACAGCGAGTGTGCATTTTTAATCCTCCTACGAAAGCACCATTTAAATATTGCCTTTCTTTCCACCCACACAACACTGTTACATGAAAATGAACACTAAAAAGGAGCTAATCCTATCATTCCTTCTTAGAATGAACTGCGCTAGCTGGCACCATAAAAGGAGAAAAATCAAATCATATCATTATTGGCACTCTATCAATAAGAGGAGTGTTCAATGTTTGCCAGTACTTGTCTATTTATTTGCAACTTAAGTTAGCAAAATCAAATATGTCATAACAAATATTTACATAGAAATGATACTATGTGATTTTCAGCAATTAATTATGAGCTTCTCTTCAGTACTATAAAAATTAAATCTCTTACACAAAGTGAAAACTTCACTCTTGCACCATCTTCTGGTTAACACTCTGAGTTGTGGAACAAAATTTGAACATGGAGGATAAGAAGTTAAGACTCTCTGAATACTAAGACTATTTTTTGGACTCAGCTGACATTTTACCAATTTAGAGAAAGCTCACGTTGCCTTAAACTATTCTTTAAACTACGTTTTGTCCTTCCAACCACACTCCCCGGAAAACTTACCAGAGAACTGAAATGCATGGAGGAACTGATATCTGTGATAGGTGGGTCAAGCGTCTGTGTATCTGTCACATCAAAGCTAGGATCTATCTGTTAAAAACAAATTTTGCTGTCAGTATTCTATATCAATAGAAAATGGAAAAAAAAAAGACAAAGATCATATGCTAGATGAGGGCCTCTCTATCAACACAGCTACTGAGAAGGGTAATACATTCATAAAAGAAACTGCTTTGTTTGAAGTCTTTCTTTGTAACCATAAACATAATAATGAATACTCCAGTGGTACTTTAGAGACTAACAAAAATATATGTAGTATCATGAGCTTTCATGAGCAAACCCCACTTTTTCAGATCCAAAGAAGTGGGTTTTGCCCACGAAAGAGCATGATACTACATATATTTTTGTCAGTCTCTAAGGTGCCCCTGGACTACTCATTTTTAAAGTTGCAGACTAACACAGCTATCCCTCTGAGATTCAATCATAATGTATTGGTAACCAAACAGTAAAGAAACTAACCACTTACTTTAGTATAGACCATATCAAATTACTCTATAATCCCTGCTTTTGTTATACACCCCAAATACTCCCCCCAAAATAATTGATTCAGAAGTTCTTATCTTATTCTCAGTAAAAAGAGCTAGGCATCAAGAAGTGAAATTTTATGATAGAAATATGAAAATGTAGGAATAGAAGTAGGACTATAAAATTGAGTTAATCAGGGCAGGTAATAATACTGCTGATACCCAAAATTTAAACCAGCTGTGATCTCCAATAGAATCACTTCATGCCTGCTAAAAAAAATTCATTTCAGTTAGCTTTTTTCCAAGCTTCCAAATATGGACTCTGTATCTTGTCTGGTGTGATCTGAAGCCCAAAATAAAAGGGCAGTATGTAATTTTTGTAATCCAATCTTTGGAAATTTCCTAGTAAAATTTCTGCTATGATTTCATCTTTTTTTTTCCTTTCTCTGAAAATATGATTGCACATAGCTAGACTAGGAATACAGTCTTCAAAAAACAGCCAAGTGATTTAGAAGCCTAAGCTCTACTTTCAAAAGAACTCTAAGTCTCATTTGCAAAGCACGTCTGTTTATCAAGCTGTGGGACAACAGTGGTTTCTGTGGTAGGTCAAGTGTCCGAATGGAAGTCACAATGTCTGAAAAATATGCAAAAACTGATTCATGGTGAGATACGATATGAAAGTGATTGACCATGAAAAGCTGCATTCTGCTCAAAATACATTATACACTAGACTAGAAGATTTACCCAGCATTGCTCGTGTCCTTAACTAATTAATTAGTTAGTGAATTAATTAATTAAGTTTTGGTTTTTGAAAAATAAAATGAAAATGTATATGCTTCATTTAAATCATTGTTCTAGAGTAGGGCTTGGGATGAAGGGTTCAGTATGCAGACTGCCCCAGGGAGAGAGGACTATCCAAGCCCTCTCTCATCACAGTAGCCTGGGGCGAGGTGAGAAGCATCTCTCCAGGGCAGCTCATCTACCCCCTGTGCTCCCCAGCTAGAGTGAGGAATACAGCAAACTATGCACTTTCTCCTTGCTCGCTGACAAAGGGGAACAGCCAGCAATGTTCCCATCTGAACTTGGGGATAGGGTTGCCAAATGGTTTCAACAAAAATACCGGACACACTTGACATTACATCATAACCTACATTACATCTTATTTAGAAAATACAGGACATTTATATTTTCTCAATTTGTTTTCCGAACAGAAAACTCAAATACTGGACTGTCCGGTTCAAAACTGGACCCCTAGCATCCCTACTTGGGGGTTGGAAATTTCAGTCCCCCACCCTTGCCCTCAATAAAACGAACCTGTGGGTGGCAGGCTTGGGGCTGGAGCAGTTGCGGACAGGGGGCGAAGGGGGCGCTCCCAGCCAGCCTCTTTCACCTGCCTGCTAATTCTGTCTCTTTCCTGTAAGGTTTTATGAGATCTACACACCACAGAATATCAGAAATCCATGCTGCCAAGCTCCTAAACCATTTGGTATTGTTAGTTCTAGGAGTTTGGAACAGAAGTTAAAAATGCTTGATTTGTACCTTTTGACATGGTTATGAAAATCTCCCTTAACTAAAAAGGAAGAGGCAAGAGAAACATTTAAATATAATATAAATTAATGTAAATATAATATAAAAATCTCTCATGTCTATCAAGTTTTTATGTTACTGCTGATTACATAGTATCTGATCAACTTGCATGTAAAATAAACATCATAGTTTATAGTGGACTTCATAAAGTGAATTTGTTTCTAAATAAAAATTAGTTGAGGTAGATTGGCACAGGCTGGCTGGCCTCTGAAGGGGCTCTGGACATAGCCTTGCCCAAGACAGATCAGTCACTATCCCGGGTGACAGGGATAGATGGCCCTGTTTAATTATTAGACCCAGTTGGGAAGGGAGCATGGGATGCCTGTGAAGAGCTGGGAGAGCTCAGCCTGGAGAAGGGAGCTGCAGAAAGGCAAATGGTGCCTCTGGCAGGCCCTGGAGGAGAAGGATAACTCCCACACAGACAGCCTGCAGAGAATAAATAAAGGAAGACTCTCACAGGGAAAAATCCCAGAGAGTCTGAGCTCTATAGCGAATGCAGAAACAGTGAAAGCTGAACCCCCATAGTGAAGAACCCTTATGTCAATGTTGTCCTGGGGATTACTAAGTTTGTTACTAGCCCAAGGTGGTGCAAAGAGGGGTAACTGTCTGGGACTTTCTGGATTCAGGGGGCAAATGAGTGTCATCAGCATACTATTGACAGCAGAGTCCATGGCTTCTCACTACCTTTTGCATTGATTTCATGTAGATATTGAAAAGAAAAGATAATATGGATCTCCATGTGCCACCTTTGGAGGGGAAGAGCCATCATCAAACAGAGCTCTGCTGGTGAGGAACAACTGGAGCCAATAAATAGCGAGCCCTTTACTCCTACTATGTCATGCAGCTGTGTTGTCAGACTATTCCAAAGTATACTGAACACTTTGGAAATTTATCACCTATGCATCAATGACTCATGAGCATCAACCTCAGAAAATATAAAACTAAATATCTGCTTATCTTGTGTATTATAGTCTTTTCCTTAAAGTCTCTTCTTAAAATCCAGTTTATAAAAGCTTGCCTATAAATCATAGGTTTAATTAAATCTAAACCACCACCAGAACAAACATCATTCCATGTAACTAAATAATCTCTGTGTTCTCACCTACTCTTTCTCCACCCTTTCCCTCTGTTTTCGCTGCTTGTTACCCTTTTGTTTATTTTGGCTTCAGTCACACAAGCTGCTTCATGTTGACGGATCCTAACACACATGAGGAGGCCCAGTGAAGGCTGCACATAGGAGGCAAGCTGCCTGCCTACATAAAGCAGCTTGCAGATCCAGATCTTATTTTACTTTTTTCTGGTTAGGGGATCTATCTTATTTCTGTGAAGTGCTATGCTTTCACTGAGAAGAACTCTATGTTTGGATATCATTTCCTTCACTTTATTATCTGAGCATCAAATCCTCTGGTATGTTTTTCAGTTCAGTTCTAACATGTTTGATCCAAATATATTCTTCCAGTCCAAATATTTGGACTGGATAAAAAGTAGAAGTGTGTACTATAGGACTAAAGAATAATAAATGCAAGCCAAATGTGAGAAATAAGGTACATCTAGAAACAAAGTATCTAACACGCAATGTATATAGCTGTGGTATAGAACATAGAACTTACTGTACAACACAACTGAGATGAACTTATTAACTTAATCAAAGAAATGTATCAAATATTGAGGGAAATAGTAGTAGAAATTTCTCTGAAATTACCCTACTGTAGAAGAGATCCTATTATAACTTAAAGCAAGGTCAGAGTTTCGTTGTGCCAGGACAATGGGATGTGCCTGGAATTCGATTATTTCTCAAAAAATGGAAAGGGAAGGGTTTGGAAAGACGCAGTTATACTATAGAATGACCATGGGGAGGGGGGAGTAAGAGGCCAGAGATGGGGATTGGGGCAACTATAACCCCACTGGGCCAGCAAGGGTGGAAAAAGGAACAGTTATCTACGAGAGAGAGTGAAAGAAAGAGAGAGAGAGTTTGCGTGTGTGTCCCTGTCCATCTGTCCGTCTCAGCTAGGGGACACGCATCCATTCCCCAGCTGTGCCCATTGTAGTTGCAGTGGCCATAAACATGCGCTTCTCACCTAGCCTCACACTGTGGCGAGAGAAGAATGGGGTTGGCCTCTCTCCCTGGGGCATGGTGCATATTTAACTCTTCATCCCCAGCCTCAGAACAATGATTTAAATGAAGAAAAACAAAATTTGAGTTAAAAACCCAAGCAATGCCAGATAAATCTTCTAATGTTATAATACTAAACATGTTCATTAGTCTACTCTAAAAATTTCTAAAGGAATATTAACTCTAACCTATGTAATACATTCAAAGCTCTCTCAGCAGTTTCTTATTTAAGGGAATTTATTGTTCTTAGCAGAGTATAAATTAATGCAATAACTAAAGAAAATGAAGTACACAGAGATTAGGTCATTTGCTCCAGCTCACAGAGAAAATATATGGCAGAAAAATTACTAGAATTAAGGTCTACTGTCTCCAAGTCCCATGCTTTAACTACATAACTGTTGTCCTACTGACCTCCATTAACTGTCTTGAAGAGATTAAATATAAAAAATATAGTTACATGCTATTGTTTTATAATGAGTTTAATCTGAAAATTTGATTTTGTGCTGGGTTGAAGTTTCAAGGTAAAATAAACTAAGAAAATATTCTCTGATTTGTACTGCCACCTAGTGTGGACTGGTAGACTGTTCCATTTAAGAAAAATGCAGATTTAATATTACTCTAGATAGAAGCTTAAATGTGCAACTGGATAAATATTCAAATTCATAATACAAACATTATACACTTAAATATATCAGAATATTATATTCAAGTTTGAACATCTTTTTAAAGTTAAGTACTAGCTCAAGCTTCTATCCATTTAAAGACCTTGACTATATACCACAAATTAAATTAAAGCAGAAACAGAAAGTTCAAAAGAATGCACAGTTCTTAGTATCTCACAGAGGGGTGCGCATAACTTAGTACATTAC